ACACCCAATCCCACACTGGCGATGGCATGTGCCGCCGTGCTGTCGATCACGCCGTCCACGTCGTAGACCCACTCCCTACCGGATGGACCGTACCATCCGTCCCACGTTCCTTTATAAGTAGATCCTAGACGGAAAACTGAATTGAATTGACTATTTATCATATACATACATTTATCATATTTTTCCACAGGTATATCGTGTTCTGTCTTAAATATACATCAAGAATGAGAAGAGGAGAGACAAGAGATACACTCCCCGCGGTTTCCAAACCTACAATAGCTCGTTGCGGAACAGAATATACTTTTGGTGGCTAGAAACTTTCTTAGGCCTGTTCTACAATACGTCGTATGTCGCTGTCGGATGTCAGAACGTAGCCGATGGTCCAATGGCAAGATTTCTCTTCAATTTCTTTGCTACGCCCTGACGTATGACGTATCGTAGAACGGGTCTTACCCTGGATGAGCTTCCAGTCGCCGACCGTAATGGCAGACACGCCATAAATATCATCAATGTTGTGGAGAATGCTCGTGCGCGGTGATTCGGTATCTTCGCTGAGCGCATACCACATGTTCATGCCGTCGATAGTTAAGTTTGCCGGATCACCGCCGGCGGCCGCTATAAGCGTCGGTAGCCAATCAGTAATATGTAACATCTGCCTGCTTACTCGGCCAGGTCGCACCAGTTTGGGTGACCATATTAATCCTGCACCTCTGATGCCGCCTGCGATAATATATTTGAAAAGATTGTTCGTTAACGGACGTCGTAAATTAAAGGCAGCTTCTAAAGTCGTGATTTTTAAAATTAAACCTCCATAACATAGTTAATTCGTCCAATAAAGTCTTAATTAATTCGGGTTCTTAAAAATACAGATGCACCAATTACGAATACAAAAAGCATATGATTGAGAAAAATTCGAAAGATATTTTCTTGCCGAGCAGATGCTCGTTAATCGAGACGTCTTAATTGCAATTAAAAAAAGTTTGCACAACCGTCTAATTTAATTGATCGATAGTCGAATAAAGTCACCTTCCCAAAGAGTATTTTTGACCCCTCTCAGTGGCCAATTAGACGCTGCATTCAAATTAAATCCAGCAGCAGGCCCACCGTTGTCTGTCGAGAAGATGATTATACTATCTCGCAGCATGTCTTTCTTCCGCAGAGCTTCAACTACTTGGCCTACCGATTGATCTAGCTTACTCAGCATACCTAGCAGTATTCCAAGATTATCAGTCCGCTTACGCTATTAGTATATAATATATTTCAGTCCCATTCCTTAAGAATCTATACTTAATATAATGATATTTTCTCTCTAAGCGAAGATCTATGTTATATTACATTTCTATCTGCGTTCGAGTCACTCGTTGGTTACCTGCGAAACGCCTTCGATTGTAATCGAAGATATTATTGAACTTAGCGACCTCCTCATCCGGCGCCGGAAGCGGATTATAAGGATTACCGGAGTGCACGGCTGCGTGGGCCAGATATAGGAACATCGGTCGACTGGAATTGTGCTCGTCGATCAATCTCACCGCCTCCTTCGTGAAAATGTCCGTGGAATATTGGCCGTGCAGATCCCATGCCGGTTCCATGCCCCGTCTCATGTCCAAGCCCCAATAAGGCTGCATTTTTATCGCGTTATCGCATTCAAATAACAAAGACCCTGTTTACTCGTGTAATCGCTCACGTTTTCAACGGCCGTGTGATCGAAATAATCGTGATGACCCGTCCAGAAGCCGGTATGGGTGTCGAATCCCCTGTAAGTCGGGGTGTACTCCTTCTTGTAAAATCCTAGGTGCCATTTGCCGACGATGTGCGTGCTGTATCCAAGCTCGCGCAAATGTTCCGGCAAGAGTTTCTCGTGGAGTGGCAATCCTCTCGGCTCCGCACCTTTGAGAACCTGAATTATTCAACAAGTCCGCGCGTTGTACTAGAAATTCCTGCGTCAACAATAATGTGCCGCTTCACGGCCAACTCAATTAAAATCTTGTCAGTCGCATTAATATTCATGGGCGGCAGGGGACGCGTAATCTAAAAAGATTGTCTCTCAAATGTTCACCACATTTTTAGGGAGTTAAAGAAGCTCTAATCTTTGCCGAAATTATCTTAAAGTACAAATTAGAAAGTTGTAACGGAGCATCATTCAGCCGGCGTCGTTAATTTGCACGATAATGAAAGGGATGCATTGAGCTGACCGTCCGTGCGGTCCTTTGTCGGCTTTGTAAGTGAATACGCGCGTATGGCGTTGAAAACGTGTATGCAAATAAAGTAGTAACGTCTATCTCTCGGTGTGATAATTTCCAATTGAACTATCCAGGTCAACGAGGCAAAAGTGCAAGCGCACAATATTCCCTTTTGTGCTCCGTGCTGCAAACAGAACAACAACGTTTCCGCCAACTGATAGCTCTCAATCGCGTTTATTCACTGACAGGTGCAGCCGCGGTTAAAAGCAACTGATAATACCAGCGAACTATCGTGATTTTAATAAGCAAATTTATTTCGTAAGATTGAAAGAAAGGGACAAATTTAGGCTCAAAGCGAGTAAGTTCCATCGTATTGTAGAGCTCACTGCCTATTGTTCTCATTTGTGCTCGATTATCTTATCTGTTTTCAATATTACGTGTTTTACACTCTTGATAAATAACGACGCAAGAAATGTTGCGAAAGCGTCACTTACGCCGTGCTGCATTCCAGTGTGAATAGGATATTTGCCGGTCATCAGAGCGCTTCTGGACGGTGTGCAAATCGGAGTGACATAATATCTATCGAGGAGCAGCCCGGAGTACGCCAGCGCGTCGATATTCGGCGTTGGGATCTGACCGGAACCGTGAAAGCCGACGTCATTCCATCCCTAATGAAAATGAGACTAAATCTAAACGTTAACTTGAGATATCATTTATATCCTTAATTTAGCAGTTTCCCTTGTTGCGATTTGTCTAGATATTTAACGCACAATAACTGTCTTACGTCTTAAGAGTACGAGACAGCCATTCTGCTCAGGCCTGCCCTAAGATTTCTCTATTTAGTCTTTACCTATTGTAGGCGTTTAACATCTCTCGCCTTTCTTTACGCCTTTCCAGTCGGCACATAAATGAGGACTAGACAGAAGTTGTCTGACAGAGTCTTCATACGTTGTGTACTAACAACCCGTTATTTTCGAGGCGTCCGGTCTTTTGGACCAGGTGTAACTTATCGCAAACCTTGAAAGACAACTTGCCAAATCGTCCGCCAGAATAAAGACAATATTCGGCTGCTTCGTCGAAGTCGCGCGGACCGTGAGCGCGAACAATAGGACCAGGGACGACGTCCACTGCACGAATCCCGGTGGACGACGCATCGTTCCCGCTCCCCCTTGGACCAGAGCGCGTCGCGTTCCTCGTGGAACCGGTTCGCGATTCCTCCTCGAGAAGGCAAAGTGAACCTTCAGGCGCGTGTGCGGCGACCGGCTGCACGAAACTATCTTCTCCGCTCGCGGCTCTCTTCCGAGCCGTCTTTTCCCGGATGAGAGTAGTGGGGAACCTCCCACCTTGAGGAGTGATCTTCGCTCATCTCTCGTCGTTCGCCACGGTCTCTCCTCGCCGTTTAGCCGATCATCAATTCGCTCGTGCCGCGCGCTAAGTGGTCGTGTTACGTTATGTCTGCAAATTAAAACTACCCGGTACCGCACGATATGCCGTGTTTCGCATTGTTTGTGGATTCGGCGGTCGGCTTGTCTCCGATTACACGTCGAGATACGTGACCGCGAGTTTTTCGAACCGAACTCGTCAACTGATCGAACTCGCCAATTCAATTCCCTCCCGTTCGCGTAATTTGTTGTTTGCAACATAATGAAATAATTAAATTTAGAACGTCTTACTTTAAATATCTACTATATATTGTTTTAATGAAACAAATTTCAACCAAATAAATAGGAATACTAAATCCAAAGAAACCTTTCTCTCTGTACATAGCAGAACTGTTGCACAACGTTTCCATTTATTTTGGCAAGATATTATCGCAGTGTCCGCAATTCAGGAATCGTTAATATTTAGACACATAGCAATTTCCACCGAAATGTCACGCCGTATTATTTTCTTTTATCGAATATTGTTGAAAGTGTGAAAGCACGCGTGAATCGCGTTTGTTATCACGCGATCACTGTGAGAAATAATAGACCAAATACATTAGCGTGAAAAATAAGAAATGGCCGATACATATAAATAGAGAACATCCAGCTTTATTCTTGTAAGAGAAAAAAAAGAAATTCTAACGCAAAATCACTTAATTTAAAAAAATGTATTACTTTAAAATTCTAATTTTGTAGAAATGTAAAAATAATTAAAATTATTAAGTAACGATAAGTATGATTCAAAACACTTTGCGGTTCCAGATAAATTTACAAAAATTAAGTGGTCATAGAATACAAACAATTTTTTCTAATTCTAACGAAAAAGCAGAGAGAGCCATTGAAATTAAATAAATTCGTGTGCAACAATGAAAAAAAAGCTTTACCGAGATAAAGTATATAAAATAATATTAAATAAAGCACATGAAACTAAAATGAAATGACTCGCAAAAGAGCATGCGGATTATATTGTTGTGCAATGAATACAGACTTAAACAGTGCGTAACGAGCGAAGTCAAATATCTTTCAGTCTGTTCCGTCGCATTAAACTCTATTGTCGTCGGTTAACCCGTTTATTACACCGTAACACCGACATATTCGTTTATCATATTATATCATGTACGGTGAAGAAGAATGACGTGACTGCAGCTATTACTCCTTTCGACATTAGTAGTAATAATTTGTCAAATTCAATGCCGTGTTATCTTTCTAGCCAAATGGAGAGAGCGTAGAAACGCATTACGAAAGTAAAAATGTGGCACGCGCTTATCTAAACGTGATCCATCGATTACGCGGGTAAATATAAAAGAAATTTATCCGCGCGGAAAGCAATATTGTAAAGGCAGGTCGATCACTTCTCATCGGAACATCGACGATCGCGCGGTGAAATTTTTAAAGAATGTCGAACGTATCTCTTTGCATTTTCCTCTCGCTATTAATCGTAAATGTATCTTCTCCCAGTCTTATTAAAAACGGTACATCGGACAAAGAAAAGCTTACCTACCTAAACGTAGTCGGTGCAGTGGTGAGTTGAAAGAAATTTTCGGGAAAATGTGTCTAAACTTAAGTGTCCAATTTTAGAAACAATTCTATTCGTACACATATATTATGCGCATGTATAATAACGAATTACATCACAGTGGTATTATTGTAAATTCGACAAAGCCATTTCAATTTTTGTAAATGCACAAAAGCAAACGTTTAAAAATGTTCTATATAATCCAATTTCTCTCTTATAGTGAAATCATATCATGTTAATTTCGTAGACAAAAATTCTAGATCAATGTCGACCGATAGAACCCGAATTAACCTTAGTGCTTGGCGGAGATTATAATGAAGTTCTTAGACAAGCTTTTTTCGCTTGGGTGCCGGTAGCTTTAATAGGGGAAACGAGTCCTCGATTTAACGCCCTCGAAAAGTTCGCCCTGACGAGATATTCCTACTATTTGTATGTGAGCTCCGAGTTCATTCCTTTCATTCGGAAGTCGCACCGCTTCGTGTTAGTGGTGTCCTCTCAGCCGATCCTACGATCTATTTTGCAGGTGAAAAATAGTATACAGACCATTTGAAACGATAGCTAAACGATTGCACTGTTTTCAAATTAAAACCGTAAGAGATTCTTTATCGAAACGCTACAAAGTTTGTAGTTGCGTTAGTTCCATTAAAATCTCTGACTAATTTAGATTTTCTCATCAAAAGTAGAATTTTCTTTAAGAACAATTTGACTGATTTTTTAATAATAATATTAGCCTCGTTACAAGTACGTGCAAATAACAATTTCGTCGTCGTTGCTGTACAGAGAATAAAGGACTCACCGTGGGCGAACTCGGATGGATTTTATATAATAATCGATAAAGAATCTGAGACTCGAGGCTGCATAAACGCTCGTTCGTTTCTCTGGGCAGCTTGGGAATACGATTTGCTCTCCGTCATATTTTCTTGCATCGATCCAGACGATGGGATCGTCTATTACACATATAATCCGTTTTCAAATAATACGCCAGCCGGTTGGCACGAAGTAGATCGTGCCACAGGACGGCACGGCCATCCTTGGATAATATTGAGGAAAAAATACGAAAACGGTATCTTCTTTCCGTCTAACGAAGCACGTTATAAAGGAATTAAGTTTTGAGTGTCCCCTAATATAAAAGGAAGTTTTTCACCTTTCGCTTACTTTATTATTATATATTACATAAATTATAGAAGAGCTCTTTGAAATGTTATGTTGGCTTAAAATATATTATTAATTATGTACTAACGAATTTGTACTGGTTTTTTTTAGACAAAGACAAGCTATGCACAAATCTCGATTTCGATAAAGCAACCACTTTGCAAGGCTACGAGATCCGATTGAACGCCGTCGAGATGGAGCCATTTATAAAAGTCAATATGAGCGCGAAGGGTCTGGAAATATTTCGTGGAGATAACAGCGAGATCATCAAGATACTCTTTCTCAAACTGGGAGCGTTTCTTGACATTGATCTTCACACTGGCAGTATCTATGACCTCGGCGGCATAGGCCCGAATGGTACTCTGGTGGGTTTGATGGCTCCTCTGAGCGACGGAAGAATAGACCTTGGCATGAACACGAGACCCTTGCTCGTATTGTGGAAGGTCAAGTAAGTGCGAAACGGATAGTAATAAATTATAATTACATCACCTTCTTAAAGATACATAAGTCTCTTACGTAATAAATATCGCGTCAGATCGTAAAAAGAATAAAAGATTGGTATGAAATAATATTTAGCGAATAACATTTACTTTTTAGATACTTATATCCCCATATAAGATCGGGCCTCTGTGTAATAGCGCAACCGAACCGGGAGATCTCGCAGTTCAACAAGCTGATGAAATTCATGTCGCCGGAAGTGATGGTGGGAATAGCCGCAATATGTCTGCTGGCTTACATAGTGTTTGTAAAGAGCCAGGGATACGTGAAGGCCGATTTACAGGTGATAAGACTTATAGTCTGCGTAGGAATTCTACATCCACCCAAAATTAGCTCCGCCCGAATCTTTATATGCATGGTACTGGTTCTGTTCCTCAACATAAACGCTCTATTCCAAAGCCACCTTTCGGCCTTACTCACCGTGCCGGTTTATCACCGCAACATCGACAGCATAGAAGATCTCAAGGTAACGGTAAATCTTTATTTCACCGCATACTTTTCGCATGCACGATCACAAAAGTAGACATTTTTATAACTTCTTTTTATCCATGTTATGTTTGAACAAAGTGAACTAGAACAAAACGGTCATTTCTTCATTAAGGAAAATCAACTTCAAGCTTTTCTCTTCCACGTGGCGAGGTGAACTTCTGCAAAAAGATAATCGACTAGCTTTTTAAAGCCAATTAGTGGTATTAATTTCGGTTTTATTTTGTCATAATTTGGATCTAAGCTATTCGACGGACATGACAAATCCCACTCGTAATCTAACACAAACTATCTTCGTCTCAAAATAAAATCGCTGACGCTTATTAGCGGCGTCACGAATCCATAATATACATATGTCGATTATTTTGGCTGTCCTTTACAGAAATCCGGTTACACTCTATACGGATCGAGCCAGTTGAAAAAGTTGATAAACGATCCCGTATTGCAATCGCGCTACATATCGGTCACGTACGAAGAGTGCAAAGAATTCGTGGAGAATTCGACAACCGCTGCGTGCCTGGGGGACTGCTACCACTTATACTACAGGATCAAGGGTCAAGACCTCATTAGATCGAAGACACTGATCGAGTTGACACAATCGTATGTCGCTCGCGAAGATTGGCCACTGTACCAGCGGGTGGACGATATTATTCAACAGATGACGCAGGCCGGTTTGATCGTTAAATCGCGGTCTGACTTTCTTGAGGAAATAAGACGCGAGAGAGCCCGGAACAGTGCGAAGAAAAAAGGCTTCAAAGTGATGATGCTGAGGCGGCTTGCGTTCAGCTTCTATTTCCTCATAGCGGGATACACTTGCGCTACTATAGTCTTCATATGGGAATTAGTAATTGGTCGATCCACTCCCAGATCTGAGAAACAAATGAGAAAGAAAAAGAGAATCAGAAGGAAAGCTGAAATAAACGATAGGATTCCGAACATATTAGGAATTAAGAAATGAATTTTGCGTAGGATTTACTTGAAGTCTTTCTTTGATAGACTGATTCGTGCGAAAAAATATAATGAAACACTGCGTAAAGTATATTCATGTCACACAGAATGTTTAGTTACTATTATTTATATATGTGTTACACTGCACTGCTATTTTCTGCTATTATTGTAGGGACATTCACGCTTGTAATCGTGCAAACTTCTTGCGGATGAGTACAGTACCGGGAAATGTTATCGTTCTTATACATGCATCGAAATCACCCGATTATCATCTCCCTTGGGGTATTATATTTTATTTACTATTTGACACGAGCGATACCCAGTACAGTGCGCAAGTTTTTGAAAACGACAAATGACGAATTTATAATATGTATAAATGATAATGAAATACCCAAATTAGTTTTCACGATATTATAACATTTATTAGAGCATAATAGAGTATGCCGCTTGGTGGAGGGTACACCGAAAGGTCCACCCTAAATACTGAATGCCCGTTTTCCACAATAGGGTGCCCAAGAATAAAGATATAGGGGAACCCGGGGCATAACGGGAACGCTAAGGTTAAAATTAATTTTAAACAAAATGAAAA